TACTACCCGTTCCAACCAATAGGATCGCTCCATGTTTCCTATGTCTTCTTTGTCTATCGCTTGTTCTATCAATTTCAATAATCAGCCGGGTAGGGCCGAATTTTGTCGGTCCTACCACAGTACTTAAATATACTTAGGACGAGTCTCGACTGCACTTAAGTCCGTTCAGCGCTCCTGATTGGCCGGTGGTGCGGTTTGGACTCATTGATGGCTGCTGCATGCCCGAAGCGTCGGGTGCAGAAAGGGCATATCTTGGTTGTTTGTGGTGTCTCAATCTCCGTTAACAGCTTTTACTGAATTATCTTTATGATTTTACAATGCTGAAAACTAAAAACTTCAGAAAATTTGCCAAATAGTTTCCTCTCGAAAATATAAATTAGCGGTGGCGATTCTGAAACACCGCAACTAAGAAATACCCTTCCTGCAATTTTTCGATAAAATTCAAGAACAAGTCAAGAGACAACCAATGTTTTCTTCAGCTCTCTCATTGACCAGGGGGCTACAAAAGGCCATGTAAAACCCTTCAGTCTGTAAGTTATTTATGATGTATCACATCACAAGACTTGTTACAGTTCACAGCTATACATATATTAATTTAGACTGTTGCTAACGTTGTGTTTTTTCTGTGTGTTGCAGGTATGTTCATTCAGTGTCATATAGAATCGTTCATGGACTTAAGGTTTGTTAACCAAACAACTTGTCTGGTACTATCATGTTAGCAGTGTGGAAAGAGGGCGGAGGATATTTTCACCGATTGCAAAGATTATAAACTGGAACGGACCAGGGATTTAGGGGCGCGAGAAGGAACAAACGGAATGAGAGAGGGAACGGAGACAAGAATTCAGGAATGAGTTGATCAAAGATTACGAATAACGTTCAATTTGGGTAATCTTTATTCCCGTCTGTGACATTCATGAGTCGCGATGTCTCAACTTTTTCTATAAAGGGACTCTAGTCCTTCCTAGACCTTCCTTATACTGAGAATCAAGACAACACCCCCTCATGGAGTCACAAACAGGAATAAAGATTACACAAATTGAACGTTTTTCGTAAACTTTGATCGGCCCATTCTCAAATTCCTTTCTCCGTTCCTTCTCTCATTCCGTTTGTTCCTTGCCGAACCCGTAATTCCCTATGGTCTTTTCCAGATTATAATCTTTGCAATCGGTGAAAATGTAATCTTTATTCCCGTTTGTGACACTGTGAAGGCCTAAAATACGGAAACCAATCAGAAACGGATTCACATTGTCTTTACTCTCAGAATAAAGGGACTCTAGGGAGGACTATCGCTGGGTACAGATCTCCTGCTAGAGGCGAGTTGAGTGAACCCGCGGTTGGTTTCAGCCGCAGCCGCGTCGGGCCGAAGTTCAGCGGCGAGGGCATCGGCATCAACGTGAGCGAATCAACAGATGGTCGGAACCCGGTTGAAGCGACGCGACGACCCAGAAGGGAAGACCGGATGCTCGACCGACGACCGACGACCGGCGACCGGCGAGTGACGAGTGACGAACGGATCCACCAAATCGGGCCAAGACACCAACCCCCACTCCGCCTGTCAGATTCTTCGTTTTTTCCCTTGTTAAGCCGTCTGTCTTCGCGTAAAGAACAGAATTTCCAGAAATTTTCTTTGGTAAACTTACAATTGGACGTATTTCTATCAAACAGAACTAAGCGCCAATTTAAGTTCCTTTTGAGGAATTTTGAATCCCGGATAGCGCGTTCTGCCAAACGGATCTAAGCGCCAAGGAAAAGCATTGCAAGTATAGGACGGAATAAGCCGGACGCCCGATTCCGCAGCCAATCCAAGCCCCCCTCTACCTTCCTCACCCTTTGGCGTTTAGGTCTGTTTGATAGAAATACGTCCAATTGAACTGTTGAAATCATTAGCAGAACAATTGGATTGCATTTTGCAAAAAGGAGCCAAGAGCATTCCCATGTTGCTAGGATTGTGCAACTTACATTCTCTGCAGTAGAATTGCTGAAGTCGTGCAAAAAACTAAATTTACAAAGGTAATTTTCGTCTGGATTCACAGTTTATATAGAGTAAAGATAAAACTTGTTTAAGATGATTAGTTTATATTTGCAAGGTGAAAACAGTTGCGACATCTTAGCGACGTTGGAATGCTCTTGGTTCCTTTTTGCAAAATGCAATACAATTGAAAACTTGCACGGCAAACTTCTCATCCTGACATTCGTCGGCCTCTTACGCGGGCCCATCCAACTTTCCTACTCCTGCGTTGAAGTCTCTGGCCCTGCGGTTTCGAGGCCGAGAGAGAGGTCCATTCAAAACAAGGACAATTTATTTTAAAGACCCTGCACTGCTATCATCTTTGTAGTGTATAATTTACTCTTCAAATTCAACACTCAGATTCGCCGAACGAAGACTTATCATCAAAGAGTGGAGCAATTGGTTTAGCAATTATAACCTAATTTGCGGAAACCCGACAGAAAACTACTCGCCCTGACTTTCATCGCCCTATGCGCCCCATCTAACTTTCCTACCCCTGCGTTAAAGTCACTGAGTCGACAAATTTGAGGCCATAGTTCTTCTATAGTATTGTGGCCATACAATTTTATGTACTTGGAAGTCGATAGTTGTATCATGAGTTACGCCCCATCCAACTTTTCCACTCCTGAGTTCAAGTCTCTGAATCAACGGAGTAAATGCCAAGTTCTTCTTCAGTTTTGATGCTATGCAAATTTACCTTCTTGGAAATTGTACTGGACATTCATCAGTCATCAAAAGGCGAATTTTACTTTAGTTTTTGCTCAACAAGTTGCTAATCATCGTTACTAAGTGAAAAGTAGCATTGACCTCCGACTTTAAGTTTTGCATCACCCGATTTTATTGTCTGAATTGTTATGGTGTATAAAATGTATTGTTTCTATGCTCGCGCGACCTAGACTACCTAAGTAGTTAAATTGACGGTTCAGAATCAAGCATTTAAGGTACATCTTCAACAATGTGTGGTGGACGGCAAAATACTAACGACATCATGCAGCGGTGTTACAGGTACCGATACGGAGATGGGTAATTAATCGATAGTCTTACAAAATTGATCGATCGATCGATGTCAATCTATAACCATGACCATTAATCGATGAGACTTTAATAATCGAAGGATCGATGAATTGGTTGGCGATCAATCGATTATCCTGTGTTAATTACCCTGAGCGATTTTGCGTTAATTACACCCTGCTCGCTGCATGCCTATCAGCCAGCATAGGGTAGATAATGCTGCCGTGTTATGAAAGAGAGCAGTAAGTGTATTTTGTATGAACCATGGTTGGCACATGATCTTATGTGTTTCGAGGTTCATCCTAGAATACGCTTACTCCCATTGTACGTAACACAATAGAATGAATCATAAAACTTCTACATGGTTGTTTTTTTAAAATAATTGTTCAATCTAATCTTTTGTGGGTTCATTATCTCTAGAAGTTTTATTCCGGTGTAACCACAGTAAACAAAAAAAATAAATGATGGAAGCAGTTCAGCTGCTTAAATTTTGAAATAAGAAAAAAAAAAGAGGAAAATATTGATGAATGATTCGTAAATATATTAGTAATCAATTCATTTAAACTTATTTTTTTATGGTGTATATGTAGATCTGAAAGATTTTCGAAGTGATGGAGAGTGATAAAACAGTTAGAACCGGATGAATTTTAAGGAATAAAAGATCATAATTATTCGTTTTCTTTTGAAAAAGAGTAAAGTTAAAGTAAAATTTATCCGGTGCACAATATCTTATGTGTTCAGAAGTTCATCCAAGAATGCGCTTACTCCCATTGTCCGTAACACAATAGAATGATTCATAAAACTTCTACATGGGTGTTTTTTTTTTTAAAATAATTGTTCAATTTAATCTTTTGTGGTTACATTATCTCTAGAAGCTTGATTCCAAAACAATCACAGTAAAAAATAAAAAAAAATAAAAAATAAATGATGGAAGCAGTTCAGCTGCTTAAATTTTTAAATAAGAAAAAAGAATAATATTGATGAATGGTTAGTAAATATATTAGTAATCAATTCATTTAATCTTGAGAAGGGCAATTAATCGATTGTCTTTCAAAATTGATCGAAGTCAATCTATAACCATGAACATTAATCTATGAAACTTTAATAATCGAAGTATCGATGAATAGATGGGCGATCAATCGATTATTCTGCGTCAATTACCCTGTACCTTAATTACATCCCGTGCAAGGCCGATCAGTGAAAGAATGTCACCTTCAACCCGAATAGATATACACCGTAAGCTATCGATTTCAAAACCATTACCGCGTTTTTTGGCTATTCTGCCGTGATAGCAAAGAGAGCAGTAATTGCAAACTTGGATGAACCATGAGATATATTAAAGCATGTACTAATCATGGGTCATACACTTCATACAGGAAATGTGCTTACTTTTCTCTTTGCTATCACTGTAGTATTCGCCTACTTCGGCACGTGACTTGTCAAATCGAGAACTATCATTCCGACTAGTTATGTATGTCGCAATAATTAGGTACTGTACGACACGCGACCTTCATGATGTCGCAGAGAAGGGGTCGAAAACGGTAATTGATCTCCAAAGTAAAAAACTATGAAAAGGATGATGTTAGCTCGATTGACGAGTTAGTTTCGTTGGTGTTGACTTGCAGCGATTGCAGTGTTAGTGTTCGCTTACAGCAATTACAGTGTTCGTGCAGTGATTTTTCTGGTGAGTACTTTTTCATTTTTTTTTTTTTATTTTCTCAAATCAGAGAAATCAAACATTTTTCCTATCAAGATATCAGCACTACGCTACTGTTTAAGAAGAAAAATACTGGGCTCATAAAATTTACTTAATTTCTAATTAAATTTCTTCTTCCTTGGAACTTAATCAGACATTTTCATTATTAAAAATTAAAAAGTTTAGAATTGCAACTTCTTATTTTAAATCACAAATTCAATCCACTAAAAAACTCACATGTTAAACCGAAAAAAAGAAACACAAAACCATTTTCTTCTTTTTTCTTAATTTTTTAATCCTTCTCAGAAAAGCCCATTTTCTTTTCACATTCTGTATATGACTTACTATGATGACCAACAGTGAAGAAATCGAAACTCCCGCCGAGATACATGAGTTATCCCTTTCACCCCAACCAACCCCGCCTGCCTCCCCCGACATCATCCCCGCATCTGACGAAGATGCTGACCATCCAATCCCCCCTGATAACACAGCAAACTCCTCCCAACCCCAAACTTCCATCCACGCCAGCTTCCCCTGATCTTACCCTTAGTTTTGTTTATTTTTTTTTTTTTTTTGTAAATATGATCCCCCCTTTCTCGACTACTGTTTGAACATGCATAATAAAATAATATAAAAATAAATGGGGATAAAAGGAACTCTAATGCCGCCCGCCCCTACCTCTCACCCACGCCCTCACGCCTCTCACCCTACCTTCCACCCTTACTTCCTCACTCCTACTTTTGCTTTAAGTTTAAACAATCTAAGCCCCCCCCCCCCTACAGTCTTATCATAATGGGAAAAAGCAAGGAAAAAAACTAAATCATTCCCTCTCATATCTCCCCGCACAGAATCGACCCCGATGAAAAATCAAGGATGGGTGACTCCAACAATGACCTCTGGCCTGAGCATGAAATTTTAACGGAAGAAGAAATTGAAGAGGTTTTCCGGCAGATTGACAGCGCAGCCGTTGACTTATGACCACCACATGAAATTTTGACGAATGAAGACCTGCATCAACTGTTTGCGCAGATTGACGTCGTCAACAATGACCCAAGGGTGCCACGTGAACTTTTGAATCTGCAGCAGCAGCCAAGCGCAGAAGTAAGTATGGGTTGGTTAACGTTTCTTTTCTCTCTTTCTTTTTTTTATCACGATTAAAAATTTACATCATTCTGTTTGTAACAAACATTGTAATCAAACGGCAATGGTTTAAATGGTCATCGATTCTGAGACACAGTTTTAGTATGAATGAATACAAGTAACTTACCGGAGAACTGTATTTCAGTTTGTTATGATGGTTGCCTGCTTCATTTATGAAGGCATTTCATGCAGTAGCGTGGCGTGAATTGCGATGTATCGACTGTTATGCCAATTAAACCTACGGCAAAGAATCGATTATTGAACACCCTGTTTATCGATAATTTTCCATAGGTTTAAAAGGCCGATCAGTCTATAAATCGCAAAGCACGCCGCGCCACTAATTTCGTGCTTATATCGTGCTTAATAACTTAATGATTCATCCTCTAAATTAAAAATAGAGAGTAAAATAATACCAGGGGAATTAATAAGTAAAATAATGAAATTAATAAAATAAAAAAGAAATTGTACGAAAAAAATATAAAAAAAAGAGGAATAAACACTTTAAGGGGTGTTTTTCTACTTGCGGGTCCCCCGCGACGACGCTCGACGTCGCCGTACACTCCGGCTCGAAGGTGTGCATGCTAGCCCATGCCAATGCATGCCAACCCATGCCAGCCCCTGCCACTGCTTGCCAAAGCTTGCCAGCCCATGCCAATGCTAGCCAACCCATGCCAACCCATGTCAATGCTTGCCAATGCTTGCCAGTCCCTTCCGGGGGGGAACCCAATCGAAAACCTGTTTGGGCAACCGATCGTCTCCCTTTACCCACAAGACCCCAACC